CACCACTTTCAGATGCAGACTGGCCCCATCCAGCCCCTACTGCAGACACTGCAGGTGGCAGGCTCCCTGCTGGGCCCTGTTGGAAGCTGCTGAACTGCTAGATGTGCTAAAAAAGGTCTCAATTCCCAGTACTTGAGAGACTGAGGCAGGAGCATCTCCATGAGCTCAAGGCCTGCCTGACCTACACAGTGAGTTTGAGGCCAGCATGGACTACATAGGGAAAGTCTGTCTCAAAAAAAAAACTAAATAAATACCACCTTTTTTTTCAGTAATGTGGATTGAACCCAGAGTCTACACACTGAGCTACATCCCAAAATCATTTTGGTTTTTTTGTTTTGTTTTGTTTTGTTTTGTTTTGTTTTTTTGGTCTTTTTCGTTTTTATCAGTACCAGGGATCGAACATTTTGGTATTTTTAATTCTGAGAGAGCTCTTTACTAATTTTGGGGCAGGTCACTAAGTTGCATGGACTGAGTTCAAACATGCAACCCTCCTGCCTCAGCCTCCCAGTGCTGGGATTGTAGGGGTGCGCTGCCCACAGGTAGCCAGCTGGCCAAACACATTTCTTACTGGTTCAGTGCCAGGCTGTGGAAACAGCAAGCTGACTGATGCAGCTTCTCAAACATTACAGGCCCCTGGGCACTGTGGGGCACTCCTGGCACACTAGCTGCTGGGCAGGCTGAAGTAGGTCACTCCAGAGTTCAAACCCAGACCGGGCAGCTTGATGAGAACTTATCTCAAAAAAAAAAAAAAAAAAAAGGCCTGAGGGGCAGCTCAGTGGGACAGCCCTGGGTTCAATCTCCAGCACTAATAAAAAGACAGAGACAGACAGAGACCGAGAAACACAGCGCGAGAGCCACAGACACGGAAAGATCACAGCCCAGGACAGAGGGGGCCAGGGCTCCAAAGCCACTGCCGATCTCTTTGCCACTGCACAACCCAGGCTGGCCTTGGAGGCCAGGCAGGAGTCCTGGTGCCAGCAGGGTGGGCACGCTGGGGGTCCCCAACAGCCCGGTTCCGGTGTGGGGAGCGTTTCACAAAAGCCAGTCAGGGGACAGGCTTTTAGTAATACCTTTATTTTTTTTAATACATAGATAAGAACCATTTTAAGTATGCAGAGCGGCAGAAAACAGAGCAGTAACCATCTGTCGCCTCCCTCCATGAGAGGAGGCTGCAAAAGCCGGAGGAGCTCGGCGGGGCGCTCGCCGGCGCAGCAGGTGCCAGGCACGCGGGAGGCCGCGGGTTCCGTCCCGGCACCAAAACAGAGAGAGAAATCTGAGCAGCAAACCTGGGAGGCGTCTGGCGCACACAGACCACAGGCGACAGAGGCTGCGCGACCGCACGGCCTCCCGCCTCCCCGCGCCCTCCGCAGCTCCGCTCAGCCGCCGCCCGCAGCCGCCCCGGAGAAGCAGCCTCTTCCGGCCGCGAGCCCAGATCCCAGGGAAGGGCTCTGATTGGGCATCGTGGGTCACGTGAGGACGGGTTTCTGGTCACGTGGGGCGGGGGGGGGGAGTCCTGCTGCGCCTGGGCTCGGTGGCTGCAGGGGGCGGGCGGGTGGCAGCGGGGTGCCGCCGGGGATCACTGCTAATAGCGGGTCTTTAGTTGGAGCCGCAGAAGCCACGCGGGACGGTTTAAAGAGAGCGGGAGATGATTAAAGGATGTAAGGGGCTTTCTGCCGCTAGCATTGTGGCACCAGGGCTGTACTTGTCGCTGATGTGGGGAGAGAGGCGGAGACAGAGGCAGAGAAAGAGCTCAGGGTGGGCCAGGGCCAGGTTGTGGGCCACTGCCCAGTGTTTACACGGAACTGAGCCGGGAGCCAGGGGGTGAGGAACCCCTCAGTCAGAAGGATGAAGCAGCCGGGCTTGGTGGCGGACGCCTGTAATCCCAGCTCTCAGGAGGCTGAGACAGGAGGATCGTTGCAATTTCAGGATCAGCCCGGGCTACAAAGGGGGCCCAAGCCCAGCCTGAACTACATAGCGAGACCCTGTCTCAAAAGATACTCTCTCTCTCTCTCTCTCTCTCTCTCTCACACACACACACACACACACACACACACACACACACACACACGAGGGATGAAGCGACCCCAGGTGGTAAGTGTGTGGGCTATGAGCAGCACAAGAAGGGTGTGTTCCGCGTGCAAGATCCATTGGAGCGCCCCCTAGTATCGCCGTGCCCTGTCATCTAGGTTATAGGACACTAGGACACCCCTGGCCTAGCGGGATGACAGAGTCCAGAACTAGAAGCGCAGGTGTCGCTCATCGCTGCAGGGAGCTGACTGAGAACTGCTGAGATGCTAGAAGGCCAGGGAAACAATTGGGGACAGGAGGACGTCGTCGTAAACACCTGAGCAATGGCAGAAACCAGAGTTAGAACTGTCATGGATGTTTCTTTCCAATTTTGTTAATACACTGGGCACACAGACACAAGCAAATGTCTGGGTTTTCTTTGTTGATTGTTAAAATCTCCATTCAATATTTATCAAATGTCGGGAGAAGTGAGCATCACCCAAAGGAAAACTTTGCTTTTCATGCTCGAGAGGAAATTGGTGCATTTCTGTTTGTCATAGCATGTGAGATGTATTTATGAAATTGCTGTTGGATTTGTAAGTTATATGATTTAAAGAGATGATTGTCAAGTTGACAAAGGATGGATTGTGACTATCAATTTTATGTCAACCTGACAGGCTTAATTAATAGACCCTTAGCAAATGAGAAAAGCACAGTTCTGGATGTGTCTGGATGTGGATGATTGACACATAGGCTAGCAAATGGAGGACCTCACCGGGCTGTGGGCAGTTCCAGCCAATAGGCTTGCACCCTGAATGTAATAAAAAGGGAAAGAAGTTGGATGTAAGGGCGTTTTTAAAGAGTGCCAGTCAGCGTGAGCCAGTGCGTCCTTTGCTGCTGTTGACTTTGTACATCAGTCCCCAGCTTCTTCAGCTTTCCCTACAAACGCACACAGAGATTCCATCGGCTTTCAGACCTCGGACCAGTGCTGCGTCGCTGATCCAGTCCTTGGGCCAAGCGGCTCCTGGAGCTTCTCCCTTCAGCACGCAGACAGCCATCGTGCACTGTGCTGCCTCTGATCCTGTGAGGCCAACTAATAAATCCCCGTGTATAATGACACTTGTATTTTCTACTCATTCTGTTCCTAGAACCCCAAACAGTACAGCCCTTCTGATAACTGATAATTTTATCTTTCTTTGGGGGAAGAAAAAAAAAAAGACTAGAGATGCCAGGCATGGTGGTGTGTGCTAGCACTCGGGAGGCTGAGGCAGGAAGGGTCACTGCAAGTTCAAAGCCAGCCTGGGCTACACAGTGAGACCAGTCACAAAACAAAACAACACAAAATATTAGGTGCAGGTATCAGGAGTGACAAAGGACCAGGCCCAACATACGAGACAAACCAGGCCTGTGGTGGAGGGTGGCACTGACCCTGGCCCACCCTGGGTTTCTATGAGAGCAACATTAACTAAGTGAGCAAGCTTGGGGACCATAGGTCAACTGCAGTCCGACCCCAGGTAACCTGGGATGTGATTTACCACATAAAAACCCCTAGACTCAGAGCTTCACAGTGACCCACTTCTGGAACCCCTGGCTTCTTCCTCTTCCCCTGCTAGGTGCTGAGACGGGCGCTCAGCACATCTAACAGGCCAGTGTGGGGGCTTGCTCCTCTGTGCCATCTGGGGTCCCCTCTGGGGTGGCTAGGAGGCGGGAAGACCACATTCAGGGACTGTAAATTTCTCTTCTCCCTTCTGGCTCACATTAAAACACTGCCTGTCTGCCTACAGCTTCCTGAGGAAACATTGCTTTAATGGCGTGATTGCTTGTTTGGGAAGTCCCGAGATCATTCACCGTTGTTGGCACCCGTCTGTCACAGATTGCTTTTCTGTCCCCTTGCAAGCAGGATGGTTTAAAGGAGTGGGAGCTTTTTGACCCTTTTTATGCATGGTGGTCTTTGATGGTCACCTGGCCTTTTGTGAGGAAGTCCCACCTCTGGTGAATGTCACCATATGTATGGGATTTACTGTGTACTTGGGCGGAGCTGTCCCCGGCCACCCCGCCCCAAGGTGGGGCCCTGCAGGGCCCATCTTCGGGTTCTCCTATCAGCTGTGAAGTGGTGTTTGGACCTTCTGGCCTCTCCCTGAAGGAGGAAGTGTGAGCTGCTAGCTGGCTCGCTGCTGGGGAGGAGGAGAGGGGAGCACAGCCAGAGACACTGATCTAAATGTCACCAACAATGTAATTATTACAAGAGGCCACTGGGACACTGTGATGGGGGCACACGGAGGCAGGGGGATGGGTTTGGGACTCGCCCTTCGCAGAGGTCACTGCCATTAGAAAGTGGTATCACGCCCTCCTTTGAACGCTCCCCTTTCTCTAAAGGAAGTTACAAAAACACCGTAAAACCCTTTAATGATTCATCAAGCTACCCAGGCTGGAGGCTCTGCCTTTTGGCAGAATCCCTTCCTGGCCGGCTGGCCAGCACAGGGCCCAGCTCAGGTCTCCCTGTCTAAGGCGGCAGTGCAGTCCCAGTGTTTCATGTAAACCAGGAGAGCACCGGTGAAAGTGGGTCATCCCGTCCAGCCACCTTCCGCCTGTCCAGTAAACAAGTGCTCAGGCCGGCACGGGGACTCCTGCGGGACTGGAGGGAAGCTCCTCTCCCCTTGTCCTGCTCAGAATGGGAAGCCTCAAGATCCCTAAGCACCGGGGGCTTTTGGACCCTCAAGCCCTAAAGAACTGCTTAATCTTTTTCTGTCTCCCCTCCTCCCTCACTTCCCCCTGGAAGAGGAGGAATGGAGTGCTGTATGGGATTTACACTATTATTTATGACGGTCCCCTAGAGTTAAATACAAGAAAGCGCAGGAAACCTGTCCACACATTAAAGACCCAGAGAATCCAGCCGAGGGCCTGGATCCTGCAGCAATGTCCTGCAAGAGTCCAGCTGAAGACCGAGAGCCCATGACAATGACCCATGAACGTCTATCCCAGGGATCTGTGCTGGGAAGGTCCAAAGGTCAGCAGTGGAAGCCAGAAAGCCCATGGCAGCGGGGTGAAGGAGCTGTGCCAGCAGGCCGAGGGTTCTGCACTGCAGCCAGGAGGCAACGCTCACAGTAAGGAGCAGGGCGCCCCTGAAAAGTACCACAGCCAGCCTCAGCGACAGTGAGGTCTGGAGCTCCTCCAAGGAGGAGAACAGCTGAATCCGTATCAGGGCGCCACCGTGACGAGCTTCCCCGGGAGAACCCCCGGCTCCACACAACACTCCGGAGAACCCACCGGGCTGCGCTTCCGCGCCAGGTCTCCTCCTCATGCAGTAACAGCCCTCAGGCGGGCGTCCACGCCGATGCGGTCACCGGCCCACTACATGGCGTCTGCGGTAAGTAGGGATCACTACACTGCCTTACGCCACTGAGAGTGGTCGATGCCCGGGTTCCCCACCTCCAAGGCTAGGACAGCCCTGCCCTGCGTTTGCAGTGGTGTCAGCGGTGGCCACAGGTCCCTGTGGCCACCAAACCTGCCGTCCCTCCCGGGCGGAGGCTCCTCCGCCTGCTCACCGCTAAGGCTTCTAGGGGGCCCCCTCATCCCTCCCCGCTCCCCCTACCTGAAACCTGCGGGAGGTAGGGAGCGAATCCGGCCCCACGCGCGAACATGTGTTATGTCCCTTACAGAGGGGTCTGATAAATACATTCACATCTGTAGAGGGCTCCCCCAAACACGAACTGTCCTAGAAAGGCGCAATGTAGCTTTTAGAGCAGCCCCTGCCCCCCAGCGGGCAGCGGCAGTATTGCAGGCTGCCGGTGGCCTTGGGGAAGAGGCGGCAGCTCTGGCGCGAGGCCCCCAGTGGGGCCAGTTTTACGGTGGAGATGGGAACAGGAAGCATTTCCAGACCTGTATGGTAGGAATCGAACTCACGGCCTCGTGCCTGCTGGGCAGGCGCTTGTGCCGCTGAGCTATAGCCCCAGCCCCTTAGGGCTGTTTTCTCGAGGGCCCTAAACTCTGCGGGACCCTGTGCTACAGGTTGGCCACCCTGCTCTGAGCTGTCACTCCCCAGCCAGGGAAATCCCTAGGCATCTCTGGACCGGCTGCAGGAGGTTTCTGAGTCCATGGAGGGAAAAATTATCCTTACAGATAAATTCATCACCCAGGCCGCCTGTGGCATTTCCAGGAAAAAGCTCTGGCCCTTGCCCAGATAGCATCCTCAATGCTGTGGCGAGGCCTGATAGCCAAGCCGGTATGGCTCTTTTGTTTGGTTGGTTGTTTTGTTTGTTGAGGCAGGGTCTTGCTGTGTCCCCCAGGCTGACCTTGAATTCGTGGCAACCCTGCTGCCTCAGCCTCCTGAGTGCTGAGATGACAAGTGCGCCCCACCAGACCCAGCTGAACCAGTCTTTCATAACCAGAACTGACAGAAGCCCACAGGGAGAAGCCAGCGCAAGGCAGAAGTGGCCGCCCTGCTCCAACCCCGAGCCTGGTTCCCAGGCTTCTGAGGACAGGAGAGCTCTCCAGCCACACCCACTGTGACAGGGGCTTTGGCCAGCCTCGGAGGCACCCCCCTGGCATCCCAGTACTTAGGGAGGCTGAGGCAGGAGGAGCACCCTGAGCTCGAGGCCAGCCTGGAATAGCAAGACCTTGTGTCTAAATTCGGGAGTGGAGCTGGTAGTCCCCCACTGGTGAGTGAGGCGTGATGCCATCCACCCGGGGTGCCCAAGCCATGTACCCTCCATTCCCAGCCCCAACGGTGCAGGTTCATGTTCGGCCCTGGATCTGAAAGATTATCTCTGTTCCTGCACCACCTGCCTCTTGGTCCCCTTTGCCTTTGGGAATCCTCAGGACCCGGCCTCTGGGCTCTTGGGACTGCGTGGCCTCCTGGTGCAACACGGGTAGCTCAGTTAGGTGCGAAAGGGATCAGGTCCGAGAGAGAGAGAAGCCAGGCCTGTGGTCCAGGACCCCCCAGCTGGAGACGCCACAGCTGAACGAGAGCTCCAGCAATCCTGGACAGTACCACAGTCACAGAGGCCACGTCCTGGCCGCACAGGAAGTGCCCAGGGCACGCTGACCCTGTCCACCCCTGCAGAAATGGCTCTGCCCTTCTCCATGTGGTCGCCCAGTTCGCACCTGTGTTTCTGTGAGAGCATGTCAGCTGAGTGGTGGAGCTGGGGACCCCCTAGGTCATCGAAGCTGCCCCGAGGACATGGACGTGACTGACCCTAGTGTGACGCTTCCTGGACTCCACTGTCCCACGTTCTGGGACAGGCGCTGGGCACATGGAACAGGTATGGCGGGGCTGCATCCCTGTGACATCCAGGGGGTGCATGAGTGCGGGGAGGGGGGGCGTGTCACCCAGGGAGGTCACCCAAAGTCACACAGGGCAGGGCGCTGCCGGGGCCTGCAGAGCAGGAGCTGCCTACCCCGCCCTGGGCCTCAGGGCCACCGGGCCAGCGGCTGAAGTCTAGGGTGGTGCGGGGCTCCGTGGGTCCCCAGGTCAAGGCCCCCGGCAACTCCATCAAGGTGCTGGCCTAGAGGTGTGGCAGGCCCACCGAGCTGGCCGGCAGCACCCAAGGCACCACAGGAACAGAGGGCCAGCACCAACACTCACGCGGGGACCCTGTCCTGGGCAGGCTGTCCTCAGCCGTGGCCGCATCCCCGGCTTCCCGGGCCTCAGGAGCCCGTCTGCTCAGGGTCCTGAGTGTCCTCTTCCTGGCAGCCTCAGCAGGGCCCTAGTCACCCCAGGTCAGACCTTGCGGCCCCTTTTCCCTGCAGCGCGGCGATGCTAGCTTCGACCGCGAGGTGGCGCCAGACCCCGCGCCCGGCGAGGCCGAGCCGGCGCATCCGGGCCTCTGGGAGCCGGACCTGGCCAGAGCCCAACCCCTGGACCCGGCCGTGCCACTGTCCAGGATGTGTCATCCATGGCGAGTCACCCAGCTGCTGTCGCACAGGGAACCCTCTTGAGGATTAGAAACCCCAGCGCCAGGCGTGGTGGCGCATGTCTATGATCCCAGCACGAGGGAGGCTGAGGCAGGACAGTCGAAGCCAGTGTGGGCTACGTAGCGGGGACCCTGTCTCCAGAGAAAGGGAAGGAGGGAGGAAGGCGTGAAACACGACGTCTGGGGCTCCTGCCGGGCTCAGGCGCCCGGAGTTGGGGTGCATGCTGCCCTCCCAGACAGGCCCAAGAGCCAGATATTTCAGTGCAGGCGACGGAGGAGGCTTGAGAGCTGGCAGTGACCTCGAGCGTGACGGCCTGCCTGTCACTGCCTGTCATTCCACATGTGCGGCAGATTGCAGCAGCTGTGGCTGCCTGATGAATCCTTCACATGTATTCATTCAGCAAACACGCCCCAGGACTCTCTGGCTATACGTGACTGCCAGAGGCCTCTGAGAGGACCAGAGTCAGGGCCCGGGGTGAACTCAGCAGAGCTGCGGGTCACCACGAGGTGTCCTCAGGAACAAACTGGAAAACACAGGGCTGGGGATGCAGCTCGGAGACGCGGTGCTTGCAGGGCAAGTGCAAGGTCCTGAGTTTGATTCCTGGTACAAAAAAAATTGGAAAACAACCAGAACCAACTGCACCCGGGCCTGGGCTCCCCAGGTGGCTCTGGCACCCAAAGACCTCAGTAATGAATGACCACTGCCTGTGACCTTTAGAAAAGTGCGCAAGTGTCACACACGTGTCTTACCCTTGACACCCACTGGGAGGTCTCGAAGCTCGGCAGCCCTCAGGAGATATGGTGACTGTGATCGTGTCTGTCCCTGGGGACATGGTGTCCTAAGTAAGTGCCTGGCCCCAAAGATCCTGCATTTAAACTGTGGGTCTGAGCCGGGTGTGGTGGCACAGGCCTGAAATCCCAGCATGTGGGAGGCTGAGGCAGGAGGGTCGCGGTACGCTCATGGCCAGGCCGGGCTACACAGGGATTCAAAGCTGTCCTGGACTACACAGTGCGCCCTGCCTCAGCCCAACACTGGTTTTCATCCCGGAAGCTGCTTAAAAGCTGCTCAGTGAATCCCAAAGAGACACCGACAGTAGCGTCATTTCTGGGATTTCTTGAGAAATGGGTTTTTTTCTGAATTTCTGCCAAACGTGTTTTTTTTTTTGCCAAACATTTTCTTATGTTTAAGATTTTCTGTAAGCGTTTAGATATCTGTTGCTTCATGTGAGAGAAAAGTTTTCACATCAAAATAGAAAACATTCTTTGACCGAATTTTTTGTTCTGTTTTTCAGACCAGGTCTCACGCTGCCGAGCGCAGGCCGGCCTTGAACTCACTCTGTAGCCCAGGCTGGCCTAGAATTCCAAGCAATCTGTCTGCCTGGACCTCCCAAGTGCTGGGATTGCAGGAGTGCACCACCACACCTGCCTTAATGTAATTAAAAAGTACCACATTTGCGGGGGATTTAGCTCAGCGGCACAAACGCCTACCTGGCAAGCAAAAGGTCGTGAGTTCAATCTCTGGTGAAAAAAAATTTTTTTTTCTTTTTCCTGTGATTATATATATGAAACTCAACAAAAGAAAGATTTTCCTATGCTCTTTATTAGCCATTATTAACATACTGTGGTTATTACTGGAGTTAACGGTGTATGCAGGGGTGGTAAGACACATTAGCTGCCATCTAGATGGAGCAGCACATGCCATAAGCCCAGCACTCAGGAGGCTGAGGCAGGAGGATCACAAATTTGAGCCCTGTCTGGTCAATTTAACAAGAACCTGTCCTGAAATAAAAAACAGCTGGGGATGTAGCTCAGTGCAGAGGCCCTGGGTTCAGTTCCCTGTGCTGCAAAACGAAAATGAAAAGCCAAGCTGTCTGGTATGAAACGCTCACCATCTGCGGTCTCTGGGTGCAGACTGCGACAGGGCAGACCGAGGGTCCGGGAAGATTCCCGGTAGGGGGCAACATCCGGGTACCAGAGGAGCAGAAAGGCAGTGGGCGGGACTTCCGGGGGAGGTGGAAGCTTGGTGTGCGGGAGGCAAGGGCCAGAGGCCCCCCCCCCCCCGATCCTGGGTGTGGTCCGAAAACCCGAGATGGTAACTTTTCCCTTCTCAGAGGCTGTGTGGGCTTTCAGGTGGCCCGGGGGGCGAGTGTGTCACAGCGTTCGGGGCCACCAGCCTCTTCCTCGTGGTCCAAGGCGGCTGCTTGATGTCAGCCTTCGCACCTGCCTTTTGTCAGCAGGAAAGAGAAAGGGGCAAAATAAGCCCCAGCCTGCCCCACGGGACACACAGGGCTTCTGCCAGCATCCACGGGATTCAGTGCTGTGACCCCCTGAACCGCAAGGGAGCCTGGGAAATGGGACCCTCACAAATGGCTTTGTGCCCAACAGGGGATTCTCTTTCTTTTATGTGTTTTTGTTGTTTGTTTTTGGTACCGGGGATCCAACTCATGACTTTGCATTTGTCAAGCAGGCACTTGTGCTGCTGAGCCCCAGCCCTTGTTTGGGTTTTTTTTTTGTTTGTTTGTTTTTGTCTTTTTCCTTTTAATCGGTACCGAGGACTGAACTCACGACTGCCTGCTTGCAAGGCAGGCGCTTAGGCCGCTGAGCTAAATCCCCAACCCCAGCCCTTGTTTTCTGAGACAGGGGCTCACTATGCAGTTCAGGCCCGCCTTGAACTCACTATGTAACCCAGGCTGGTCTTGAACTCATGGCAATCCTCCTGCTTCAGCCTCTTGAGCCATGGGATTACAGGGGTGCACCACCACACCTGGCTGTGCATCTTCTGTAAGTGAAACTGAAGAAAACCTATCCTGAGACCCGAAGCGGACGGTACTGTGTAACAGCCTGGGCTCCACAGCGAGGCCCTTTGCCAAAAAAATAAATAAATAAAATAGTAATAATAATAACAAGTCCCTCCCTTCCTCTTCTGCTGTATGTTGTCAGATTTAGGCCAACAGCAGGTGCCAGGCAGCCATCCTGTGACCACAAGGAAGAGTATGCTGGTCCCCTGGGATGGAGGCTGAAAATAACCTCAGTCCTTGAAGATGCTGTGGAGGCTCCCGAGGAACCAGCGCTGGCGTCCCACGCCCAGCACCTGTGACAAACAGCCTGACTTTCCTCACTGTGAAGCGAGGTCTCCTCCTGGGGCTGGACGAGTGTAGGCCAGATGGGGTCAGGGCTGGGCATACAGACTCTGTCACCTCAACTCCTCCAGGTCAGACTGGAAGTCTCTGCCCCAAGCTCCCTGGGGTGGCGGCAAGGCTGGGCTTGCACTGGGCCCCTCCTGGAGGTGGGGACATGGGCGCCACATCCCTGCTGCAGTCCCACACTGGGGTGGGCATCCAGCTCCTACCCTGTGCAGGGCCACCCAGGGGAGAGAGCACGGTGTGGCCACCTTCCCTCCAGCCAGGCCAGCAGGACCCTCGGGATGCCCTTGAAGCCCACAGCCCTGCCCAAGACGCCTGTGACCCGTGCCCACCCAGGCCCGATCTCCTAATGCTGCAGCCTCACAGCCTAAAATAGCGTGAGTACTCCAGCCATCACATCCACTTTCCAGCTGTTAGAAAGAAATAGGCTGCACATGGTGGTTGCATGCCTGGGACCCCCAGCACTCGGGAGACTGAGGCAGGAGGACTGCTGCAAGTTCAAATATATCTATATATTTTTGGCCAATAAATGTATATATTTGGCCAATAATTGGCCAGACTTGAGGGAGTGTCAACACTTCCTCAGAGGCTAGAGCAGCACCGTGGCAGGTTGGGGCCAACCTGGGTAACTCTGGGGCCAGACTTCAAAATAAAAACTGGCTGGGATGTGGCGCAGTGCTGGGATGAGGCCCTGAGTTCAGTCCCCAGCACAGGGAGAAGCAACTGGCCGGGAGGTGGGGACAGAGTCTCCGCTGAGGGCCAGCTCCCAGGCAGGAGGTGGGGTCCCGGCGCCCCTGCGGCTGCCGGGCACAGGCCTGGCCGCCGCCCTCTATTCCCTTTGGTTGCTCTTTGAGACTGGGTCTCCATGTGGTCCAGACTGGCCTCAAACTCAAGTTAGTCCTCCTGCCTCCTCCTCCCCGGCGCTGCGATGACAGGCGTGGGCCGCGGAGCCGGCTAGGAACATCCAAATGTTTGAGTCCTATCTGGGCCCTGGGTTCCAGCCTCGGCTCTGCAGTGGATAAAGAAGGAAAATAAAGTCACAAAGTGAAACTTCGTGTTTCAAGGAGGGAAATTCTTTTCTGGCCCAGTTCTTGGGAGCAGGCAGAAGTCTTTTTGTCTACTTCATCTCAGGTTTGGAACCCTGAATCTATAAAAGAGGCCTCTCCCGCTTTGAGAATAAGGTTTTATTCTGATGTGATTTACAGAAAGCCCAGATGAAACATGCGCAGGGATGCATACCTATAAACTGAGCTCCCAGGGAAGCTGAGGCAGGAAGGTCTGAATCTGAGCCCAGTCTGATGACCCAGCGAGGCTCTGTCTGAAAATAAAAAACAACAAAAAGGCTGGGGATACGGCTCAGTGTGAAGGACCTGTTCAGTCCCAGGACCAAAAAAAAAAAAAAAAAAAAAAAGAACTATGCCTCAGGAGGCTGAGGCAGGAAGATTGCTATGAAGTTCAAGGCCAGCCTGGCCTACACAGAGACCCCCTCTCAGAGAAACAAAACAATGAGGCTGAGCATGGTGGTGCACGCCTGCACTCCCAGCACTTGGGAGGCTGAGGCAGGAGGATCGCTGCGGGTCCAAGGCCAGCCTGAACTGCAGAGTGAAACCCTGTCTCAAAAAGACAAAAAACAACAACAAAAACAAAACAAAACAAAACAAAAAAGCAAAGAGTCTCTGACTAGCAGGGCAAAGCGGAGAACGTCTATAATCCCAGCACACTGAGAAACTGAGACAGGAGGATCACAAATTGGATCTCAGCCTGGGCAATTTACCAAAACCTTGTCTCAAAATAAAAAACTAGCCTGGCATGGTGGTGCCTGCATCATCCCAGCACGCAGGAGGGTTGCTGTGAATTTGAGTCCATCCGAGGCTGTTCAGTGAGTTCACGGCCGGCCTTGGCTGCATGGCAAGACCCTGCCTCAAAAAATTATTTACTTATTTTTTGCAGTACCGGGGATCGAACTCACGACCTCACACTTGCCAGGCAGGTGCTTATGCCACTGAGCTAAATCCCCAGCCTCCTCCCCAAATTATTTATATACATACAAATTTTTTTGTATATATATATATACACACACACACAAAAAAAGGCAGGGGATGTAGCTCATTTGCAATCTCCAGCACACACAAACACACACAAATATCCTGACGCTGGGTCAGAAGGAATTGCACTTTTAGGCTCTTGTGCTGGGCCAGGCTGAACATCTTAGGTGCCTGGGTCACACTAACTGAGGGGGAATTGTCTTGGGCTGCATGTAAAATAGATCACATAGTCAATATGTATCACGAACAGAAGTTTCTTCTTTTTCTTTCTTTCTTTCTGTTTATTATTTGAGACAAGGCCTCACTATGTATCCCATGCTGGCCCTCAATTTGAGGCAACCCTCCTGCCTCAGCCTCCTGAAAACTGGGATCACAGGTATGCACCACCATTCTTGGTGAGACAATACTCTCAAGCAAAATATATCAGAGACAGGTCTTTAAATACAGTCGTTTCTCTGTGAAAAACAGAGCCAGCTGTAGTGGTGCACACCTGTAATCTCAGTTCTCCGGAGGCTGAGGCAGGAGGATCCCTGGAAGTTCGAGACCAGCCTGGGCTACAAAGTGAGCTCAAGGCCAGCCTGAACTGCACAGTGAGACCCTGTCTCAAAAAGACAAAAGAAAAAAATTCCTCTGTGAAAAACAGAAAGTGTAACTAAGGACTCAAATGTATAAAGGGAAGAAAATGTTCCAATGGGAAGGGGAGGGGAGGGGAGGACAGAAAGTAAGGAAGAGGGGGAGAGGAAAGGGAGCTTCTGCAGAGGGGCAGGGGAGGAGAGTGGGAGGGAAGGAAGCCGACGGTGGTAAGTGCAGGCTCAAACCCCCGTGCTGAGTGTGATCCTTATGTACCCCGAGAACGCACAATGAAATAAAAATGATAGGTCTAAATTTCACTTTTTGATCTGTGGTTCACTTTGAGTTAATTTTAGCATTTTTGAGATTTGGGAGCTTTTGTCTTATTTAGTTTGCTTTCTTGAGACAGGGCCTTGCTGTGTAGCCCAGGCTGGCCTCAAAATCAAAGCAATCTTCCTGCCTCAGCTTCCAGAGTGCTGGGCTCATAGGCACGTGCCACCACACCAGCTCCCCCAGTTTATTTTTGTGTCTTGGGTATTGAACCAGGGCCTGCACAATGAGCCACATCCCCAGCCCCTTCTGAGACAGGGTGTGGCCGAGACGCTCCTGCCTCAGCCTCTTCCATGAGCCCATACTGCACTCTTCCCTTCTGAGCCTTGCTGCACGACAAACCCAGAGCTTAGGCAGCGTGAGTCCTCCGGTGTTAGCAGCCTTCCCAAAACCTGCTCCGCTATCCTGGTTTCTCTGCCTGTCCTAATACGCTGTTAGAGAGAATCTGCCTGCATCTACAAAAACTTCCTGCAGGGACCTGGACAGGAGCCATGGGGATCACAGTTACCAGGTGACTGTGTCTCCTCCCAAAATACATGTGTGACAGTCCCCACCCCGATTCCTCATAAGGCCACCTGAGTTAGACACGTGGGTGGCCCCTGACGATGTCATTAGGACGAGGTCACGGTGGAGGAGGGCAGCCCCATAAGCAACCATCTGAGGCTCCTTTAAAAGATGAGCGAGGCGTGGTGGTGCACCCCTGTGTCCCCAGCACTCAGGAGGCTGAGGCAGGAGGACCCCCGTGTGTTTGTGACCAGCCTGGGCTACATAGCAAGACCCTGTCTCAAAAAACTTTTTTAAAAAGAGCTCTTGGTGGGGCTGGGGATTTAGCTCAGCGGCATTAGCACCTGCCTTGCAAGCAGGCAGTCGTGAGTTCGATCCCCGGTACCGATAAAAAAAAGGAAAAAAAAAAAAAAAAAAAAGAGCTCTTGGTGTAGCTGAGTGCTCAGGCCCCTGCCTGGCATCTGGAGGCCCTGGGTTCGATCCCCCGGAGGCAGATGGAACCAGACCTACTGTGCACCTTCAGTGCAGCTTCCCCGAGGACCCTGAGAGAAGCACCCCAACTGCACACAGCCAGCAGCACAGCGCAGCGCTTCGGCCACCTCTGCAGTCATCACAGCGACGCCCCTGCTGGGCTCTGTCACTGTGGCTGTGGCTGCTGCCCAAGGAAACTGGGAGCCAGGACTGTCCTCCTCCATCCCCCTGCACTGCATGGGGCCAGCTAGGCCCAGGGGTGCCACACCATGACCCACTGTGACCGGGGGCACGGGCCTGGTCTCTGCCGCTCCCTGCACCTCTCCTCCTGCTTTGATTTCAGGCTCCTGGGCTCTTGGACTTCACCTGCGTGCGTGCGTGTCTGTCTGTCTTTTTCTGAGACCCAGAAAGCCCAGGTGGAGAGCCTCCTGCTTCAGCATCCTGAGTGAGTGCTGGGATCACAGGCGTGCGCCTCCCGCCTGGCGGCCCCTTCCCTCCCTCCCTCCCTCCCTCCTCAAACCCATTTCTCTGCTGCTCCTACCTCAACCGGAAGCTCACTGCGGGGTGCCCCGCATGGCCTGGCTGGCACCATCCTGACCACCTTGGGGCCAGTGGCGACACAGCCTGAGTCACCGTGAGGCGGCTGAGTCAGGGGAGGGAGATCCCCACAGAAGGGGCCGGGCGCCATGGGTGGCGCAGGAAAATAGTGTCCCAGATGTCCCGTCCCTTTGACACTGCGACAGAGCCTGCCCAGCCGCAGGGGCCAGGGTCGCAGTGGCCCCTCTTCACTACTTCCATCGCGGCAGGGAAGCCCCCCGCGGGCCCGGCCCACTCCCCGGAGGTCCCTGTTGCTCCCACAGCCAGACTCATCCAAGCGCACAGGGTCAGACTGTCATCCAGGCCTGGCCAGGTCACTAGGTGCCAGGGGGCAGTGCCCAGGCAAATGACCCAGACCAGCGCGGGCCAGGGGACTTGGAACGAAGCCTTCTTACCTATTTTAGTAGCTACATTAAAGTGTAAAACAAAACAAAACCAGAAGCTAACACATAACTCACAGGTCTGCCTGGACCCGTTGTGACCAAATCTTAGCCTCTCAGCACAGAACAACCGCACGAGGCCGCTCTGACGGCCCCCACCAGTTTTGAGACAGGGCCTTATTGTGCGTGTAGCCCAGGCTGGCCTTCCAGGGAATCCTCCTGCCTCAGCCTCCTGGCACTGGGATCTCAGGCCTGCGGCCCCAGCCGGGTTAAGGATGCGAGTCGGGTAAGGACCCCAACCTCTCCATGAGCAGCACAGGCCGGAGGCAGCAGGCACAGAAGGGGCAGGGCTGGGCACCTCGCCAGGAGCTAAGTGAGCTGCAGACACCCAAGCTGGGCTCTGCGCCTGGCCACAGTAAGCCCGGTGCCTTCCTCCAGGGGACGGGACGGGTGAGAGCCATGGCCTGATCAAGAAGTCACCGCACTCCTAACCCCCAACTTCAGGCGGCGCCCCAAGAGTGCTCTGTGCTCAGAGAAGGGCAGGGTGGGGGTGGAGGAGGCTTTTGGGGGACCGCACCGGTTGGTTTAAAAGCCCATGCTGCAGGGTGGGGGTGGGCACTGGGAGGAAGTCCCCGGATGATCACCCGCCCTGCAGCCCTTGGCGAGGATGCACGGGGCCTATGGGTCCTGGGAGCAGGGGTAGAGAGGAGGGAGCGGTTCTGGGTCGCTTCCTGCTCATGCTAGTGGACAGAGGTGTCCACAAACACCCCTTGCCTGGGAACCCCTGAGCCCAGGAGCGAGGTGGGGGCAGCGGCCGGGCGACCTGAGTCCCGGGGTCAGTTGCTCCTGCCGGGCACTGCCCCAGCTGAGGGAGGCCTGGCCATGGCCTGCAGGGCCGGCCCTGGGTCTCCTCTGCTCGCTGCCTTCCACTGTCCCCAGAGTGCCCGCATTTCCCGCAACTCAGACGCTGGATCCCAAGCAGGGTGCAGGGTGTACCCCTAGTAACCGGGTGCCTGGAAGGTATGGGCAGAGGCTGCCGCTCAGCTCACAGGGGACAGCCCAACAGCCAGCCGGATGGGTAGAGCCCTGGGGCCTGGAGATTTGGGCCAGGTTGTTGGGGAGGAGGCTTTGGCTGGTCTGACCAGGCCACCAGCTCCAAGCCAGAGTCCAGCCCAGCCCAGCCCCTCCCCCTCCCACCCCTCCTCCACCCCCTCCTGCACCCCTTCATCCTCCATCACCACGCTTAGCCCTGGTGAAGATCTGGGGCCCAGAGGGAGGACTCCAGATCTCCGACCCGTCCTCTGCCCCTATCTTCCACCTCCATGCTCGGGTCCAGCCTGGGCTTGGGGACTGCAGCCCTGGTGACGGGGCACCACTCCTGTCCATTCCCTGGCTGGTTGCAGCGGGGGTCCAGGGGCCCTAGGGTCCCGGAGGCCTTTCATGTCCCCTACAGCCTCGGCAAAGGTGCAGCATGAACAGGGGGAAGAGGCTGGGCCAGGACTCCCCAAACTCAGGCTGGGCAAGAAGGGACCACCCTTTCACAGTTCCCATCCATATCCCGACTCGCTCAGCTCAGAAATAGGTCCCAGAAACGAGTCCCCCACCATCGAGACCCCAGAACCGCAGGCTTATTTCCAGATGGGGTCACTGGTGCCCAAGTTGGAGGACCTGAGGCCCGGCATCTTAGGCCAGGCACGAGTGGCGTGGACTTCTGGCCCAGGCCGCAGCCTGGAAGGTGACCGGAACACAGACCTGACAAGGAGGTTCCACGCGAGAGCACTGCCCCAGTAGTTTCCCACAGCTCACGGCTTTCAGGCGGTGAGTTCTAGGCCATTCCTGAGAGCAAGGGACACTGCCAGTGCCTGTGCTGCAGAGCCTCTAGTGCTGCCTGGGTAGACTCTGGGTCAAACACTGTCACTTAGACCAATGGGACCCTATGTTATCTATGCAGAAATCTGACCTCACCCAGCCAATGGCATGACGATGACCATCGCCCACAGTGCCATTACTGACAGAGACCAACCAGTCCTCACCTCCCCACTACTCCACCAAAGGGATGCTCCGGTGGCTAAAATCTTAGCAGGGCATGGTGGCACATGCCACTTGGGAGGCTGAGGCAGGAGGATCCCTGGGAGTTCAAGCCAGCCTGAACTGCACCGAGACCCAGTCTCAAGAATAATCAAATCTAAAGGCAGAGGGCACATGGAGACAGCACAGAGGCCCTAAGCTGGTCACACAAAGAACAGTGTGCAGAAGGTGGCCGAGTCCCTGGCACTCTTTGTCTCCTGGCCCTGGACCTCGGCCTGTGCGGATAAGCTGAGCGGCTCTGGTTATTCATTCTTCACTGAACATGGTTTCTGAGTCTGAACACTGCTAGGCCCCGGGGAAACCCAGAGAACACAGGAAGCAAAAGTCTCTGGGCCGAAGGTGCTGGCGCTCCAGGGGAGGGACCCAGGCAGAAAACGCCCCACATATATTACTGCTTAAATAATGAATTATATAGTACATGAGAAACTTGGTGCGCCAGAGGGAAAAAACCAATAAACCATGGTAAAGTAGTCCAGGAGCTTGGGGAGAGACATCCAGTTTAAAAGAATGCGGACAACCAAATATGGCATAGAGCCCTGAGGCAGTGGGAGGGCAGCCCCAAGGACAGCTGGAAAAGAGCTTGTGGAGGGAAGCAAGTGCAAAGGCCCTGAGGCAAGCTCTGGCCAGAGCAAAGAGAATAACCTGCAGGACCAGGGCAGAGAGGTACAGACTGCTGGGCCCTGGGAGGTAGGAGTCCCTGAGGGTTTCTGAGGGGAGGAAAAATAAACATGCTTCACATTTCAGCCCGAGAAGCTCAGCCCTGGGAGTCAGGTACACACAAGGCTGCTGGAACTGGAGGAGCCGGCTCCAGCCTGGGTGTCCTGGAACAACAGGACAAGATGGAGCTACTGCTGGCCTGTGTCCCAGTGAGGGGGGCTGGGAGCCCACTGCAATGGCTGAGCAGTGATGAGAGGGGCTTGTGGCCACCACCCTGCCCCTGGTACTTCCCTTCATGTGTTGCTGTGTTTGGCTATTTAATTCAGCTCCCAAACGGCAGCTTCAGAGGGGGTTGGAGGTGCTGACCTCGGGCCCACTGTCTGCCACACCCCATGCCATCCTCTCACTGGACAGGGGCTGTCCCCATGCCTGCTTCCTGGGGCTCAATATCCCACTTGTCCCAGCTCCCCTGGGCCCCTCACAGCACATGCCACACTGGCACACGCATGCCCTGCATGGAAGCTCCCTGCACCATCCTGTTCTAAGCCTGGGGCTCAGGGCCTCTCAAGGACCCAGATCGATCCAGGTGGCTGTGCTGGGAAAGGTGGCAACCCACGCAGTGTGGCACAGGGGCGGAGGCTGGTTCCCCAGTCAGCAGTGAGCTGGGGTCCCTGGCTCTCCACGTCGTGAAACAGGGGCCACAGCTATACTGACACGAGGTGCAGGCGGGGAGGCCTGGGTACCCTGCTCAGCAGCACAGGCTCAAGTCGCCTTTCTTGCAGGGCTTTGCTGAGGCTGGTGAAGAGCTGCTTTCCAGTCCTAAAGAAAGCTGTCCAAGTCCAGAGTATCAAGGCCACCAAGTCCCAGAGTGGGTGGCAGGCTTGAGGCAGCGACCCAGAGGTACGTGATGCTCCCGGGCCTTGTGTTCACTAGTTTTTCCCTCGAAAGTTGGAACCAGAAGAGGTCCTCCTCCCACTCCGGCTTGCCAGGTTTCCTGGCAGCGGAGTCTGCGGTCAGCAGGGCCTGGAGGCCTGAGCCTGCCGGATGACCAGATGCAGCAGTAGCTGGGTGACCGGCCGAGGGTGGTTGCAGGGAGTGGGCCATGCTGACCCTCCCTCAACTCGTGGGGCTCAGTGAAGTGTATGCCCGAGATCTGCTCATGGCCCTGGCACCCAGCGTCCTGCTTGGCTGCCGAATCCGAGCACGGAAGGCCTCGAACTTCCTGGCACTCCCAGGCAGGGTCCAGATAGGACTGAGCTCAAGACAGACTCCAGATTGTGCAGGGCGCAACAAGCAGAATCCACCCAAGTGCTGGCCACAGAGAAGGGCAGTTCTGCAGCCCGAGTGGCCTCAGGCAGAGGCACACACAGCGGCGCCCTGGAGCAGAGCACAGAGCACAGGTGACCCCGTGGGTATGCGGGCAAGGCTGGATGCGTGCTTCGTGAGGCTGCAGACCTTCAGGAGCTCTAAGGGCAGGTAACCCTGCGGTACTCAGCCTGTAAGATGCTTCACTGGCTCAGAAGTGGAGCAGAGCGCATTCTGCCTGGGTGGTTCTCACCAATCAAAGGTCTCATTATTTTTGCGATGGAACCTGGGCCTCACTGGTCTAGGTCTCTATCCCTGAGCCACACCCCAGGGCTTAGCTGGAAAGGGAGTGTGGTTTGAACCTAGTGGATTCCCTCTGCTTCTCCCAGCCACGTCCTCTGTCCTGTGGAACTAGGGAAACATCATCCCCACCACCGCCCACCCAGCCTTGGCTCTGGAGGAGCCGCTCCCACCCTTCTTCCTAAGGAGTCTAAGACACAAAAGTCAGCTGCCCCGAGGAAAAGCAGACCCCGACTCACCCCACACTCGCTTTCTAGGCTCTTTTCACAAGCCAGCTCTCCTCAGAAACCACTTCCCGTGGGGCAGATGGGCTGTGGGGCACCCCCTGATCTCCTACCTGGCTGGCGGCCTGCTCCCTGCCTGCCCTGTCCCTCACAGCCCCCCCCCCCACGCCTAGCCAAGTCCCTACAAGGCCTGCTGGAACCCACGTCTGGGACTCCCCTACCCCAGCCAGGCTTCTACTCAGTCTTGGGTGTTCAAGCATCTGACACCCCCAGCAGAACAGCAAGCTGTGCTGAGTGTACCCCAAGAGTCTGGCCTGGCTCCCCGTGCAAAGAATGGATGCGACAGTTTCACCCTCATGGCGCCTGACCGTTCCCCAGCCTGCTGGGAGGGTGGAGGTCCTGAGTCCTGGAGGTCACCACTTTGCTAGGACTCCCAAAAGCTTCCATCCCGCAATCTGCCTAATCCTGGAAGGGAAAGAAAGCGAACTCAGGGCATTTGCAATTCAGGCAGTCGGGGGTCAGCAGGGGTCGGCAGAGCCATTTGGATTTCCAGGGTGTGGGTAACCCCGACAGGAGTCCTTGCCTGCCCCACCCCCACTGCACGCATTTGCCTACCGACTTATTTATACCTGCCCCCTGCAGCAAGGGTTTGAGACAGGCGCACAAAAATACACACCATGCAAAATAAAAATCAAAGTCGGCAAGGAAATCAGGACGAGGAGAAAGTAAGAGTGGGAAAAAAAACCAAGATCGACTCGGCGCGCTAGAAATGAGACTTAAAAAAAGTTGGCCAAGTTTTCCAGCGCCCACCGGGCTCGCTCCACCTCTGCGTCCTCCCAGGGACAGGGCCACGAGTCACACGGGGACACCGAGCCGGGAGGCGGGCAGGGCCTACAGGATGGTGGCTGGGCCTAGCAGCCTGGTGGCCCAGAGAAGGGCTCTGTGGAAGGGGGACGGCCGGCCCGGAGCAGGAGCGGGTGGCTGCTGGGGCCTGTGACCAGGGACAAGGCTCGGGGGACACTGGTGGAAGGTTCGCCGCTCCACGCCACTCGGCCCAGGGCCTCGGGCTCGAAACTCGGCGGCTCCCGCCCACCCCGCTCGCGGCCTACTAACGCGCGCGCGGCGGGGCACAAAGACGGAGCGAGCCGCGCTTCCACCCCGCCCCGCCCCCACTGCCACAGACAAAGGGGCAGTGCCCCTCCCCCCCGCTGCCCCTCCGCGCGGGCGGCCCCCCGGGGACTTCCTCTCCCCCCAGGGGTGGCCCGGGGTCTCCTGGAGCACCGTTGTGCACCTGGGCGCGCGGAGGCCATCCCCGCCCCAGCCCCCCACCCCCCGGCTCGCGCCTTCCCGCCCGCGCGCCCCGCCCCCACCGCGAGCACGTGCTGCCCGCGCCCTGAGCGCCAGCCTCTGCCCGGTGGGGGCTGGGCCGCTGCCCGCCGCTCCCCGCCCCCACCGGAAACATTCCGGAGGCATTCCTGAAACTTGGAGGCCCAGCCCCGCCGGCTCCCCACCCCGCCTGCGCGCCGGGTTGGGGGTTCTACCCGGCGCCCCCTCCACCTCCGCGCGCCCGCCGGGAGGAGAAGGGGGGTTAGGGCCGGGACCTCGGCGGACCCGGGAGGAAGAAGGGTAGCAGAGAAAAACATGAGTCACAGCCGTGTGTCACTGGCCCGCATTGCAATTCCCTGCATCACAGGAGGTGTAGAGGGCCGCCCTGGGGACGGGCGCGGAGAGGTGCGCACGGCGCGGCGCGGCTCGGCTCGGCCCGGCCTGCAGGGCGCGCCCTCCTCGCGCCATCTTCCCACCCGCGCTTTCTCCTCGGCCCGCGCAACAAGTCTTTGTTGTGCCGGGGCTAGGGATGGGCCAGGCGTGAGCACGCTCGGTCCCTGCCCTCAAGGCGCTTGCAGGCGACGCCTGGCCTACCCCCCCTCCCCGTTTTCTTAAAAGTCACCATCGAGGGGGATCGGGGTGCGAAGTGGGACCGCGTGTCTCCAAGGCACCTCCTCGGGCACCTGAAGGAGTGACTCCTCCCTCCGGTGTACCTGCGAACGGGCCAATCGTGTGTCGCTAGAAGGCTGCACCTTGGTGACGGCTGGCCGGGGGCCGTTAAGGCATTGACACACTTAGGATTTCCCAAGTTTCACGTTTGCATTTCACAAGACTTGTATTTCACCAAACCAGCCACCAATGGGTTGACACTGAAACGCACATGCTGACACCTGTCCGCCCCGGGAAATCTACTGAGCCGTCGATCTGGGCGGAAAGGGGCGGTGAGTAAGGCCGCGCAACGCTCCAACCGGCTCGTTCGTCTCCACCCCCTTGGCCCGCATGGACCCCCCACGGGCCGAGTGCCTCCCGCCCCGACGGGGGGCGAGGCCCATGCGCCCGGAAGGCCACCGAAGGTGACTGTTCTCAGGTCGGGCAAGAAGGACGCCCACGCGAGGAGACCCTCCTTGACTCCTCCGCGGCCCTCCCTGGCCTCCGGCGCGCGGGACCGTGAGGAGTGGGCAGCCGGGCGGGTTCCCAGCCCAGGAATCCCTCGTAACCCTCCCACCGCTAGCACCCACCCGCGCAGCGGCTGGCGGGCTGCCGCCCTTTTAAATCCCCGGGCTCATTTGCATGGCCCCGCCCCCCGTGACACGGCTGGCGCGGGCGGGCCCGTCCCCCCTGCCCCTGGGTCGCTCTTTTTAAGCTCCCCTGAGCCGGGGCTGCGCTCCTCTAATTGGGACTCCGAGCCGGGGCTATTTCTGGCGCTGGCGCTTCTCCAAGAAGGCGTGAGTTCGCGGCCGCTCCGGTGGCTTGTTTTTTTTTTCTATCTATAATTTAATTAAATTATTTATTTATTGAGGCCGCGCACGGGCCGTGCCCGGCTTCCTGGCCCTCGCCATCCTCCGGGGAGGGCGCCGCTCGGTCCCCGCCGCTGGATGCGCGTTATAAATACCCCGCGGGGGCCCGAGCGGCGAGCACGCGGCGGCGCCGGGCTTTGAGCGCCTCTGCCCTCTCCCGGTTTCAGATCCGCATTCGCGAGCAGCGGCGGCGGTGGCGGCGCAGCCAGGCCGGTCCCCAGCGCCCAGCACCGTCGCTCCCGGCAGCCCCGCGCGCGCATTGCAGGCCGGCGGCCGAGCTCGCGGTGAGTCGTCCCCGGGGCCCGCGGCCGCCCCGCGCCCCGCCGCCCGCCCGGGGCCGCAGCGCGCGCCGCCGGCTTTATTCCCAGGCCCGGGCGCAGGCGGGCGGCGTGGGGCGGCGGCGGCGGGAGGGCCGCGCGGCGCGGGGGCGGGCGGCGGGGCGCGGAGGCGCGGGGAGGACGCCGCACCGGGTCCCCGGCGCCGCGGGCGGGGGGCGGGGACGGGCGGCGCGCGGTGGGGGAGGGGGCGGCGGTGAGCGCGAGTTGTGCGGCCGCGGCGCTGGGTGCACCTCGCGCGGCCGCCGCTCCCGCGGCCCGAGCCCGGCCGGGCGCCCCCCACCGCCGCCGGGAAGTTCCCAAGTGCGGGGGAGGCTGGGGACCCGGGTGTGCCCCGCGACCCCACCTCCGGCCCGGCCCCAGGGGCCGGGCCTGCCCTCCGCCCCCACAAACTGGTTTCGCCGCTTCGCGGGCGCTGTCGGAACTAGTCCCCTGGACGCCCCGCTTCGGGGCTTGCTCCCCCGGGCTCGGGTTCCGGGGAGAGGGAGGGGGCTTCCTCCGCGCGCAGGTTTCCTGCCCCAAGGCGGCCTTGGGTGCCCCCTCTGGCAGGAAGTGGGGCCAGTGCACCCGCGTGGCGGGGCATGCGGTCGGGGTGCGCCGCTTTCCCGCGCCTGCAGGCCCGCGCCCCTCCCCCCGCGGGCCCCCGCCGCCGCCCGCCTGCAAAGGTCGCGCGGTCCCCTGCAGCGTCACGGGCCGGGGCCGGGGCACGGGGTCTGAGCCGGCCACTGGTAGTGAGCAGAGCGGCGGCTGGCGGGGCCCGAGAGCCCGCGCCTCTCCTTCGCCAACTTGCTGTGTGACCTTGGGCCCCGCTCGGGCCTCTCTGGGCCATTTAGCTCTTTAAATAGCTGGGCCGTCCCGCGGCTTCTCCCTGTCTCCCGCGCCCATCGCTGCAGAGTTTGAACGCCTCTCGAGGGCCACGCTGTGTGCGCAATGGGCGAAGAGGCGGGCGTGAGGCCTACAGGGCTTGGGGTCGGGCCCTAAACGTGGCTCCTTGTGAGCCAGGCCTCCCTGATGTCCCGAAACAGGTGGGAGAGACAGCACGGCGTGTCTTGGCCTCGGCCCTCCGCGCTTCCGTGGGGGCCTGTCTGGGGGAGGGGCGGCGGATTACAGGGTCCCCCACCAGCACGGGGTGGGAGGAGGCACCAGATGGCACCGGCGCTTCCAGCGGGGCCGACTGCAGCCCCCCGCGAGCCGCCCAAGGCGGCCTCTCTGTGAGGTCAGCGCTCATTTAGCTGATGAATTCTGATGTTCAGTTTGAAGGGAGACCTGTGGTGTAATAGAAGATTCCAATCACTGCCTGTAATTATAGAGCAGACCCAGCCACTAATGACTGAGCAGGGCGACTCAGCAGCCACCCTGTTTAAAGGGTCTCCGAGGCTAAAATATTATCGGATGGAACAGTTACTCCAGTCCCGCCGTCTGGAGCCTCGCTAGGGCCTGGAGAGTGGCGCCCTGAGCCCTCCAAAAATCCCAAGTTTCCAAAAATGTTTTCCTGTCATTGAGTTAAAATTGGAAATGGCCTCAGTTGGCCAAGAGGAAGGAAAAGTTATCTTCTGATGCTGTAGTAGATCTCATCTTGATCAAAGCCATGACTTCTCTACTTAGGTTTTATGTGTAATTGCTGCAGTGTGCAGACGCCCCAGGGAGGTCGAGGCAGGTGCCCTGTGGCTCCCTCAAGTTAGACAGGTGGGGTTTCAGTGCTGCCTCTAACCTGGGACGTGAGTCAGGGTGGCCACCAGGAAGTGGGCAGCCTTAGGTTTGCCAGGTCCTACCTGCCTGAAACTTGGGGAACACCGACTGAGGAGACATGAAGGATCCTCTGTGTCCTTTTTATTGAGTCAGTCTTGCTGTGCATTACAGACTGATCTCAAACTCCTGAAGATCCTGCTGCCTCAGCTTCCTGAGCACTGGGACCACATGTGGCACAGTCACACCCAGCCTGGTGTCCTGTGTAAAGTCTAGCAGAGGCTACCACGTGAAGGCTGGAGGCTTCCTTGCAGCAGTTGAACCCAACAGGCCTTAGAAAAGTACTAGGAAAGGGTTGGGTTCCCAGCGCCCTGGGCTACCCCAGCTCTGGGGAAGGGACTGTGTGCGAATCCCTGCCTCCCCTGCAAGTGGCCATCACAGGAAGTTGCCCCTGTGACGGCTGGGCTGGAAAGGGAACTTTCCCCAACCTTCCCTCCAGCGTTGGACCTGGGGAAGCAGTGCAGGTGGGCCCAGCCCTGATGGCTGGTGCTGGCCGCGCAGGGCCAGTCATCTCATGGGCTGCACGTCGCAAGATCCCTTGACCTCCCCAAGCTCCCTGGTCTGGTTTTCTCTGCAGAGAACTCACCAACTGACTCGGGGTGGGACCCTGGCTTTGCTCGCACCTTTGCCCAGAGCAGCCGCACCCCCAAGTCAGGTCTGGGCTCCCTGTACCACCCCTGGGCCCCGTGGGGGTGGCTCTGGGCAGCACAACAAAGAGCTCTTCTGCACAGGAGATAAGGAACTGATTAGGGCCAACTGCCAGGCCGGGCCCCACCCTGTGGCAGCGCAGGGGGCACCAGCCAGAGTGGGGAGCTGGCCCTGGGCGTAGGCCTGGATCTATGGGTGCAGGCAGGGCCCACGGTTGACTGGCCTGTCCTCCGCAGCATCCCAGCAGGCGTTTCAGCTGCCCTAGAGAAGGAAGATGAGTGAGTCCAGCTCAAAGTCCAGCCAGCCCCTGGCTTCCAAGCAGGAGAAGGACGGCACTGAGAAGCGAGGCCGGGGGAGGCCGCGCAAGCAGCCGCCGGTGAGTCCCGGGACGGCGCTGGTAGGGAGCCAGGTGGGTGTCCAGGCCTTGCCTCGGTTTACATTTTGGGCTCGGGAGGTATGGGCAGTTGTGCAGGGAACAGTGGGTGGTCTCCGACCTCCAGACCAGGAGAGTAGGGGCGAGGAACCCCAGCTAGCCTTTGAGGCCAGGCCAGGAGCAACTTGGGGTCACCTCCCTAGGCGGGTGCCAAGGACCCCTGAATTTTTGCAGTATTAGGGTTGGCACTCAGGGCCTTGACGCTGAGCTACATCTCCAGCCATTTTGTTGTTTTCTGTTTTTTGAGACACGGTCTTGCTATGTGTGTGGCCCAGGCTGGCCTCGATCTCCATAGCATCTTCTTGCCTCTATACTAGGGCCCAACCCTTTTAATCAAAGTTTACTGTAAATTCCGTGACAGGGACTCACTAACTTGCCCTGACCACCTCAGTTTAAGCCTGGCTGTAAAATGATTTATTTTTGGGTTTTTAAGACAGGGTCTTACTGTGTAGCGTAGGCTGGTCTTGAACTTGCTTGTGTAGCCAGGCTGACCTTGAACTCACAAAGATCTTCCTGCCTCAGCTTCCCAAGTGCTGGGATTATAGGCATGTGCCACCATGCCAATCTTAATTTTATTTTTGATCGTGAAGATGGGTTAAAAATTGAAAGAGCTGGGCAGGATGATGCACCTTTAATTCTAGCACTCTTGATAGGCTGAGTCAGGAGGATCACAAGGTAAAACCCAAAGTGGGTGGCTTGGTCTCAAAACAAATACAGGGGCCGTGGCGTGTGTAGCTCATTGAAAAGGCCCTCATTTCAGAAGCAAAACAGTTCCATGCACATTTATGTTTCTTCAGTGGTGCTAGGGGTAGAGCCCCAGCCTGTGTGTGCCCTGCCCTGGGCTGCACCTCCCCAGCCACAGGCAGACAGGTGGATTTATACTTGGTACCTTTAGCCCTGAGATTCACTGCAGGGAGCTCTTGGCCTTGCTGTGAAACTTTTTCCCGCACTGCCCGGTAACACGGTGCACACCTGGATTCCCAGCACTTGGGAAGCTGAGCCAGGAGGGTCTCGGGGGTCAAGGTCAGCTTGGACTGCATAATGAGAATCTAGAAAATGAAAACACCAAAAACATGTCTGCATACTTGCTGTGCATCTTCTGACTTGGTCACCTTGGGCTGCTGGCAAGTTCCCCGGCCAGCGCTGTCCCTGGGCCTCACTTGGGGGCCTGAGATGGGCTTTGCCCCTGACTCTTTAAATGGGCCTTGGAGCCTAACAAAATGGGGGTTTGGTGGCAGTGATGCTCATACCCTGGTGTGCCTCCCTAATGGTGACAGGAAGCTGCCTGGAGTCTTGGAAGCTGGAGCTGGAAGGGGTGGGCAGCATTCAGCTGCCCCCTTTAGGGTAGGCTTGGGGGCTTCTCTTAGCCAGGCTCATGCATCTGCAGCAGCCTTTTACTCATCTTGGGCTGAGAACATTTCGGGAGCAGGTTCAGCAGAGCCTCTGGGGTCTGGGCTCTCTTCCTGGCGGGAACCAGGATTGCAGGTGAAGGCAAGGTCCCCACAGCCTCTCCAGCATGTGCCTCAGTGGGTGGGCAGGAACGAGACCATTGCCGGACACTGGGTATGTGTCCTCAGTGGGCTTTTCATGTCATAGAAACAGAATGGAGCATGAGGGCCCCTGACCGTGTCTTTCTGCTGCCTGCCCTTCTTGGTTTCTCCTTATTCTCCTGTCCCCAGGAAGCCAGGGGAGGGCTTCACAGAGGTGCTGGGGGGCTGGAGCTATGGGGTCCGGGTCCCTGACTGTTTCCCTGTCCCTGCAGAAGGAGCCCAGTGAAGTGCCAACACCTAAGAGACCTCGGGGCCGACCAAAGGGGAGCAAAAACAAGGGTGCTGCCAAGATCCGGGTGAGGCTTGACACGGGCCGGGCTCAGGATAGAAAGTGGGGTGATGCGGAGCTCTCCAAGGCGAAGGCCCTGGCTGCTTTCCTAGTCCAGGGGAAGGTGCCGTGGGGACGGGTGTGTCTGTCAGCAGCTTCACCCTGGGGTCCCTGGAAGCGGGGGACGGCGGGGCGGGCAGGGAGGGCCAGACTTGGTGGCATCTGCCTCTAGAAAACTTTCGTTTTTTTTATTTTTTTAAAGACGACTCACATCCTCTGAGTCACAGGTGGAGGGGGCGGGAAGCCTAGTGTGTACCTGGGTGGGGGGCGAGTGTGGGTGGCTGGGCACCCTGGGTCCAGCACCTTTGACTTACCGGGTGTTTCCTTTGCCCCTCTAGAAAACCACCACGGCTCCAGGAAGGAAACCACGGGGCAGGCCCAAAAAACTGGTAGGTGCTGCTACCTGCCTGCCTGCGGCACAGTGGGTTAGGCCGAGCTGCCTGGCTTGTGCCCAGAGGGACCCAAGGCCAGGTCCCCATGCCCTGCCTGTCCATGGCGGGCAGTCTCTGCGGCTCCCTCTGCTCCCAGAGGAGCAGACCTGAGGGGAGGTCTTGAGTCATCCAGGCAGAGGCCACAGGAAGGCCAGGGTGAAGGGTGAGGGTCACCCAGAACCAGGTCCTCAGGGCAAGAGGCAGCTACAGAGGGGCCTGGTCTGGAGGGGCAGTCCCCCCAGGTGCTGGGGGAGCCCCTTGCTAAGCACCCCACCTCCCTGCCCCTGGGGCTGAGGGCAGTCCATTCGTGGCCCACAAGTGAGTAACAGGAAGCAGCGGCCCTGGAGTGTGTGCCTGGCACGGGGGCTGTGGTGACCCCGCATTCCCGCCCAGTGAGTGGGCCCAGGGCGCACACTTCCCCTTCCTCCCCGCCCTAGTGGCCCAGGGACCCAGTACCTGGGGCCCCAGCTGCCAGGGGGAACGGGGCCCTCCCCAGCCCTTCCTGATTTCTCTTCAGGCCCCCTCCCCAGGCATCAGCCCCTGGGGTGCTGCCCTGCACTGCTGTCCTGTCCCCCGGGCCCTGGCCGCGCCTGGCTCCTGGCTCCTGGCTGTGGGAGAGCAGTGTGTGTGTGGTTTTTTCCTCCTGTTAAATTGTTCATTTTTATGAATGAAACGCGGCCATGGAGGCTGCTGAGTCACCCACACACTCAGCCCTGACTCACCGCCCTTCTGGAGAGCGGGGGCGACCCCAGCGTGCTGTCCCAACTCTGTCCCCTCTGCCACCGCAGGAGAAGGTGGAGGAGGAGGAGGGCATCTCGCAGGAGTCCTCGGAGGAGGAACAGTGACCCCACGGCTGGCCGCCCGCCTCCTAGGACTGGACAGCTCAGCCCGCTCCCCCGCCCCACCCCAGGCCTGCACCCTGCCCCTCCCGCACACTACATAGCACACCAGCCTGCGGGGCGCAGCCCTGCCTGCTGCCCGAGCACTCGCCATTCCGCTCCTGGACAAGGCTAACCCGCATAGCCGCACCCTGCCTCCCCACACCTGCCCGTTGGGGTCCCTGCTCTGGGCTCTTCCTTTAGGGGCCTCATCTGTTCCTCACCGCTCCCTCTGGCTTCCCCTCCGTGGGCCCAGGAGGGCTCCCCTGGCCTTAAGGGGCCCTAGCCCCGTCTCACTCTGACGTGCCCCATCCATCCCACTGTGCTGGCAGCAGCCCTGAGGCCAGTGGGGGGGTCTTGGCCCCCCAAATGCCCCAGCCAGTTTCACCCACTAGGGCTCACCCAGCTGGTCTCTCTCCGGCCTTCCTAGTCCAGGTTGGACACACCCCTGGGGTACAGGAAGGAGCCGGAGGCCCAGTCCTCTGTGTCACACCCAAGAGCGCAGCTGGCAGCCTCACCTGCTGCCCAGGTGAGGCCCAGGTGCCCTGTGGCAGCCGCCTAAGCCAGGCTTTCGCCCACCTTCCTGCTTCCACTGCTGTGGCTGCTGACCCCATGGGGTGCTGATCCGGGGACCCCACCCTGCCACCCCATCCCGTCCTCCCACCCCCAAGGTTCTGGTTCCATCTTTTCCTCTGTTCACAAACTACCTCTGGACAGTTGTGTTGGTTTTTGTTCAATGTTTCATTCTTAGACATTTGTCATTGCTGCTGCCACCAGCGCCAGATGTTCATCCTCATTGCCTCCCGTTCTGCCCTGTTCCCTCCCCAAGACACGGGGACGGGGCTGGGGCACCCAGGCGGGGTGCAGAGCACTCCAGTCCCAGGGAAGGTGGGGCCCTGCCCCTAGGATGCTGCCGCAGAGTGAGGAGGGGCCGTGTTGATCGAGGAAGGGTGTGGGGGTCACCAGCTCCCCTGTTCTGTTGGGGAAGGTGGCCATTTGTCCAGCCTGGGGCTCCCCCTCTGGTTTCCTATTTGCAGTTACTTGAATAAAAAAATATCCTTTTCTGGACTGCAGCCTTGTGCTTTGTGCACCCCAGCTGGAGTGGGGGTTCTGGCCTGTAATCTGTTGACACTCTTAGAAGTCAGCCACACCCCTAGCCACAAAACACTTTATTTATAAAATACTATATATACTGGGTACTGTACATCCAGCCGATGGCCAGGGGGCCAGTTCAGCACCCTCCTGGAGGCTGCCACAGGCTGGCAGAAGGAAGCAGGCTGACTTGTTGGCCCACCCTAGAAGAAAAGCCCTCAGCGTGGGGGGGGGGCAGACAGCAGGGCCCTTGGTCTGCCAGGGTCACGTTTTAACATCCAGCAAGGACATCCGCTTGTGCTGGTAGCCACTCTGCCAGCTGTGTGTCACCTGTGGGGAGTCCAAGCCAAGGCTGGAGTCAGCAGGACCCTACTGGGGAGCCCTGGCTGGTCCACCTGTTGCCCACGCTCACCTTGGGGTCTCCTACATCTGCCAGGAGTTCCTGTTCGGCCTCATGCAGCTCCTCGGCTGGGTCATAGCTATACATGGGGAGCAGGTGATGGCGCAACCTGTCCACCCTGGGGAATGGGCGGGGACAGCAGACGGCCTGACTGCCCGCCCTTGCTTCCCCCAGGAAGAAACCCTGAGCAGCCCCTCCCTGGGGCACCGAGAACTCATCCTAGGCAGGGGGTTCAGAGCCGGAGGTGGGCAGGGGCACTCACCGCTTTTTCTTCTGGATGTACATTACCTGGAACAGAGACAGCACTGCAGAGGCTGCCCCTTCACACCCTTCCCAGCACAGCCGCTGACTACACAGGCCAAACTGGGTGTATGGCGGGGCGCTCCTTACCACAGCCACTACCACCCCGACCAGGGTGATCAGGAAGAAAGGCCCCAACACGTAGCCCACCATGGAGTCGCTGTCTGCCTGAGGGGCACTGGGCACTGTTGTGTTACTCATGACATCGGCAGCCGGAGGCCTGGGTGGCCAGCATTGGAAGTGGGGCCTCGGGAGGGGCCTCCACCAGGCTCCCTGCAGAGGAGGATGGAGGTCAGGGCCGCACCTGCACCTGCAGTGACATCTCAATCCCTGGGAGCTGGAGATGGGTGAGAACCTTTCTAGGTCAAACCTAGGGCTGACACTCTCCAAGGGCTGGGCATGTCTTGGCTGAAAGGGGCATCAGAGTACGCAGATCCAGGGACTGCTTTCTGGCCAGCTCCTACCCTAAATCACGGTGGGGCCCAGCACTTATGCTGGCCGAGCGCCTGTAAGACTCTACCAAGAAAAGGATCGAGGCAGCTCCTTCCCAGGTCTCTCTGTGCCAGGCTGCAGGCGAGCAAACTGGCAAGCACAAGAGGGTCCCCCCTGGCAACCCAAGGAGAGGTGGGAACATCGGAAGGGCCACCTCGGCCCTGGTCGGGTCCCCACATTCGGCCTATACGCTCCATGCCTGGGTGCTACGTTCTCGTCGGCGGTGTCACCAACAACAATCTGCAGCCCCCGACCCCAATCGGTCTCATGTGCCAGTGTGGACACATTGGGGAAGGATGGTCTGTGCCTTCCAGATGATGTCACCTCGCTCTGGTCCCCACCCAGGGCTCCACCCAGGTCCTCCCTGCTGGCAGGGGCCGACTGGCGTGACGGTCAGCCTTAGCGACAGAAGCGGACATCACCCTGGGGCAGCTGCACGATTTTGGCCGGGAGCCCGACCTGGGTTCGCCAGGGTCTCTAGCAGAGCCAAGGCAGGAGCTACCTGCCCCGTGTCCGTGGGGCTCTGGCCGGCCAATGCCTGGCAGCAGCTCACCGGCCAGGTAGAGGGCCGAGGGAGGGCATCCGGCCGCTCCGAGGATGCTGGCTGGCCGCCGGCGGCGGCGGACGGCAGGCGGTTCTCACGGCGCGGGAGGCTTAGCCGGGGCGGGGGCGTCGGGGCTGCCCCGCGCCTGGGCATCCTGGGGCCCCAGCACCCCAGGCGTGGGCCTCGCCGGCGCTCGGCAGCCCATCTATCCGAGCCGTGGCTTACCTCCCGCCGCGGCAGCCGCGACAGCAACGCCCTGGGTTGGCTCCCGGGCCCGGAAGAGCCCACGGGCGCGTGATCAAAGGACCCCGTTGGTGGGCGGAGATCTGGCCCGCGTGCAGCCAATCCGGCCGCAGAAGGCAGAAGGCCTGACCCTTGGGGAGCGACCAATCGCGAGCCGGGGTGGGCGGTGCGGGGACGACCAGGCCTGCACGGTCTACGCGCGGCGCCAGGGGGCAGTCGAGGGTTGTGCAGCGGGCGGGGCTGCGCTGCGCACGGTTTCCCAGCGTGCCCTGGGCTCCCCGGCTGTCTGGCCGCGCTGGGGTCCAACGCATAGCGTGGCTCCGTGTTCCCCGGGGCACCGTCCGCCCTGGCCCGTTTTAAATCCTCGGTAGTGGAGCTCAAGCGCAGGGCACCCACCCTCTTACCTGTGCCCACGGTCCTTTTTATTTTGAGGCAGTGGCAGGGTCTCTGGGTTTGCGGGCCAGTCTTCAGGTCGTGATCTTCCGGCCTCAGCTCTTCCAGGGCTCGCGCTGGCAGGGTTTGTTGATTGGTCTATTGACTGGGCTCAGCGGGTGGAGGCGGCCAGGTCTGGTTATTCCTGCCCCCAGATCCTGCCCCGTGCAATGTCTCATGCACTGTGTGTCTCATCCTCCATCCTCCAGTGCCCTGGTCACCTCCTCCCGCTGCAGGGGACAAGGGTGGGGCCAGGGTGAAAGCCCCGTGTGTCCCGGGCAGCTTACTGACCCTGGGCCAAAGCCTTCAATAATGGTCAGATCAGTAAACCCACCGGAAAACAGCCCAAGATAGGTGCGGAGCACCAGGGCCGGGATTCCTGATTGGCATTATTTTAAGTTGGGAGAAATCAGGCGAAGCGCATTAGGTGTCTGTTTTTTTACAACTGCAGAGAATCCACACTCGCCTTCCATACATGGCATTTATTTATATATTTGCAAGCGCTGTCCCAGAGCCTCCTCTCCCCACTAAAGTCCCAAATGATCAGGAAAACTCCAGGCTGGGGTGGAAGCTATCAAAGAACCAAGGTGGTGGCACCTTAACCAGACCAGCCCCCTGGGCCCCGCAGCGGTGAGAGTCAGGGTGGCCCTGGGTGCCCTGCTCAAGCCCCAAGGCTCCACTCAGGCAGCCGTGCGGCGCGCTTTTGCTTGGCACTTAACTGCCTGGCAGGGCAGGGGCAGCGACCCTAGTGCACCTGAGTCCCTAACAGGCCCTGAGTCTCGGGGCTCCAGGGCGGCATCCCAGGCTGATTTCCAGCACAACAGGGAGCCTCTAACCTCCAGGGAGGGAAGCCCCGCCCTGGGTATCTCCCCTGCCTCTCCTCCCTTTCTTCTTTGCACTACTGGGTGTTGACCCCAAGGAGTGGGGTGCCACTGAGCCACACCTCCTTTTCATGTTGTTCTTGTTTGGAGGCTCTAGCAGGGGAGCACAGCTACTCCTCCACCCCTGATGACTGAGGAGGTGCCAGTTCTCTTCCACTAAGCACGTGGCAGCTTCCCAAAGACCCAGCCTGGAGCGATCAGCAGAGTGCTCTGACAGCCAGGTCTCCCTCTCATCCTCATTTTTTGAGACAGAGACCGGCCTCAGATGTAAGATCCTCCTGACTCAGCTTTGTAAGTAGTTGACTCAGTTTTGCAATTACCTGGGGTGACAGGTGTGTGGGACACAGCCAGACCAGCAGCCCCACTGGAATTGTTTTTTGTTTTTTTTTTTTTTGGTACCTGGGATCGAACTTACGACTCTGTGCTTGTCAGGCAGGCGCTTATGCTGCTGAGCTAAATCTCTGGCACCTCACACTGGAGTTTTGACTACTGCTTATCTGTACTGCAGGGCTTGGTACAGGAGCTGGGGCGTCCCATCCTCCTGATGCCTTGTGTTCTTCTGTCCTGCTCCAGATCCACTGGACATGATCGAAGACTGTTTTTATGTAACTGCATCATTCCAGAACAAGATCAAGAAGAGGCAAAAATGGGCTGGGGATTTAGCTCAGTGGCATAAGCACCTGCCTTGCAAGCAGGTGGTCATGAGTTCAATACCCAGTACCAAAAAAAAAAAAAAAGAAAAAGAAAAAAGAAGAGACAAAAATGCCTAGCCCAACAAGTGTGGAGCCATTGCCTGGTAGCCATTAAAAAACGGGCCCATTACAAAGTACCCAGACAAGACCAGTGTGACCATGCATTCCTGGAATCTCTAACCTGGGAGGCTGAGGAGGAGGATTGCAAATTTGAGCTCAGCCTGGATATTTTAAGTGACTTAGCAAGACCCTGTCTCAGAAAAACAAAAAAGGCTGTGGTTTGGCCCTGGGTTCAAACCACTGACAGAGAAGTGCTGCTGAGGGTATAGGAAAGGGGTGGCCTCCACTGTGGGCAGGAGAGGAAGTGAGCAGAGGCACTAGGGAGGCTTCCGTGGGACCCAGCAGTGCCACCCTGAGGAGGAAGGAGGAAGGATGGGCGACATCAGATGCCCGCCTGCGCATGGTGGCCCTGAGGTGGAGCCAGCTGTGTGTCCAGCGACGGAAGAGTGGACACAGAGAACACAGGACTATAGACAATGCCGCTGTAGTCGCTTTAGGGAGGAACAAAACTGTCCCTTGCAGCCAGACGGATGGGACCAGGGATCGTTGCATTAGCAGACAGACCAGTTCAGAAAGACGGGCTCACAGGTTTCCTCATCTGCGGCATGTAACAAAGATGCCTCGGGAACAAGGGAGAGCGTTACTAGGCACGGCAGGGGGTGAAGACCTGCCATCCCAGCACTGGTGGGAGGCTGAGGCAGGAGGATCACGGTGAGTTTGAGCCCAGCCTGTGCTACTTGTACTATGGGCTGTGGCCAACAGGGTGCAGAGACATGGGTAAGCATGGTCCTCACTGTACAGAGATTCTATCTTAATGTACATTTGCTACAGAGAGAACGGGCTGATGGTTTTCTTTTTGTTTTTGCAGACAGGGTCTTGCTGTGCAGTTCAGGCTGGCCTTGAGCTAACTTTGTAGCTGGTGTCAAATTTGCAATAATCCTCCTGCTTCAGTGTCCCACGTGCTGGGATTATAGGCATGCGTCTCAATGCTCGGATTTGTTGTTGTTTTTCATCTTTTTTTGGTCCCAGGAATCAAACTCAGGGCTTCCAGCTTGCCTGGCATATGCTGTGCCACTGAGTTACATTCCTGGCAATTGTTTCTGGGTCTGAACCTTTAATGAATAAAAAAAGCTAAAACTGTTACTGTGTACAGCGATGCCTGTCTTGCTCTCTGCACTGAGGACTGAACCTAGGGTCACTGTACATGAGCTTCGTCCAGCTTTTTATGCTTTTGAGAAAGCTCTTCCCAGGTTGCCCAGGGTGGTCTCAAACTTGCCATCCTCCTGCCTCAGCCCCAGAGGAGCTGGGACTATAAGTGTACACCACGGCATCTGACAACTGTCTTTGTGTCTTTTTTTTTGAGACAGGGTCTCACTGTGTCTCCCAGGCTGATCTTGAATTTGCAGCATCCTCCTGCCTCAGCCTCCCCAGTGCTAGGATTAAGTGTGCACCGTCATGTCCAGATACATCTGATAGTTTTTTTTTGGGGGGGGGCTAGGGGGTTGGTTTTTTGAGACAGGAGATTAAACTCAGGACCTCATGCATGCTAAGCGAGCGCTCTACCACTGAGCTCCACTCCAGCCCTTTCTTATTCTGTGAAATGGCGTATGGCCCTAATTTGGAACCCTCCTGTGTCAGCCTCCAAGCACCATGGATCACACAGATGTGTGCCACTGCGCACTGTTCCTCCTTGTTATACACTAGGATCCTCTGAAAGTCCGGGATCCAAGATGATGTTTCATGTTTGCAGTGTGGAACGACTTAGCTAACACCATTCCCAGCACCCTGCTTACCTCTCCTGCTTCCGACCGCACCTCATCCCGAGCCCAGACTCAGGACCTAGAGGAGAGGGGCCACCGATAGTCCAGTGCCCACCGGACACAGCAGACTCACCCTTACAGGGAAGAGCGGTCTCCTCCCTTGCCTCCGGATCCTCTACCCAGGACGCCCAGGGCTCCCTGGAGCCGTGCCTGAGGGCAGGGCAGGGGCGGGGTGACCCTAAGCACCCTGGTACCTGCTCTGCAGCGTCCAGGGGGCACTGAGGACCAGGGCGGGGCTCTCCTTCAGAAGGCACCTTGAGACAAGGCCCACCGAGCCCAAAGGCCTTGGAGCCTGTGCACTGTGCAGTGGTGCTGAGAGAGGCACCGGAGAACACCTGAATGTTGTAGGACGCAGCAGGGGCAAAAATCCATCTCCCAGGGCGGGCAGAAGCCAGCTCCCTAAACCATCAGCACTGGGCCGAGGAGGTGGGGTAGGGGGGTCCGTGTGGCCTCAGTGGCTGTGAGGGGCTGACTGGAGGGGGATAGGAGAGAGAGGCCTGGGTGCAGCGCCCGCACAGACATGGCTCTAACAGCAGGAACAGGGATAGATGCTAGGGGGAGACTCGGGGTCCCGAGAGACGACGTGGAGAAATGTGTGGACGAGGAGTCTTTATGGTAGAGAGCGAGACAGGGTGGTGCGGTCCGGTCCTGGCACTGCCTGCATGGTGTGTGGACCAAAGACTTATTTTAAAATACGAATTGCAGCAGGGTGTGGTGGAACGCACCCATAACCCCAGGACTTCGGGAGGCTGAGGCAGGAGACTGCAAGTGCAAAACCAGTCTGGGCCATTTAGAGAGACGGTCTCAAAACTCGGACAAACGTGGAAAGGGAACGGGGTGGGGTGGGGGGGCGTGGTTCAGAGTGAAAGGTTCAGTATGAATTTCCAGCACCACCAAACACCATAAAAAATTAAACCGTGCACACCAGCAAAGGCACAGCAGCCTACACTTCCTGCTGAGGGCTGCAAACTGCAGAACTCCTGAGAAGCCCTGCTCACTGTGCTTACTTCCAGAACTGCCGCTGGCTGTGACAGCACACAGCTGCGATCCCAGCACTCCAGGAGGCTGAGGCAGGAGGGTCCCAAGCTTGAGTTCAGCCTGGGCAACTCAGTGAGACACTGTTTTAAGTTTCCCAGCTGGGCATGGTGATGCATGCCTGTGATTCCAGCACTTGGGAGACTGAGACTCATGCCCTGAGTTCGAGGCAAGCCTTGGGTACATAGCAAGACTCTGTCACAAAAACAAAGCAAAGGAACAAAACACAAAACCCCAAGCCTAAAGGTTTGTTGACTCATTTTTCACACTTGTGTGTATTTATTTCCTGGAGGCAGGGGGTGAGAGGCAGGGATCCCACTTTATACTGTTCAGCTGTGCGGCCGGCTGAAAAGCCCACCGTTCCAGACTGGAGGCCCTCCAGCTCGGACCCTGTCCGCACTCCCCACGTCTGCTCCTGGCCCCCGCCCTGCTCATTGCCCCATTT